AATAGCTCCAAATTTTTAGTGTCCAAGGCATGCATTTACTAGAATGTTAAAGTATAGATACAATTGTTACTTCTTAATTGTGCCATATGACGAACTATTCAAACCTCTTTTACGGTGCAGTAAAGTTATAAGTTAAATTTACGACCATTCGTCATAATGACGTAGAATTTGAAAGAACAAATTTAATCTACTGACAAGAAGAACTTAATTTTAGCTGTGCCTTAATTTAAAGGGCCAAAAAAGTAGCTTGTCACATTTTACACGTCAAATCTCAGCCTACGACGTCTTTTACTACCTACGATGTTCTTTAGTACCCAAGTGCCAACGAATTTTGATATCTCACATATTTACGATATCGTTTAGTACCTAAGTGCCTACGATGTTAGCAAAGGACTCCCTAAGGAAGCCTTCTGATATTTCACGTGTCTACAAAATTCTTCGCATGGAGGACCACCGTTTGCCTAAAGTCGTATTCTTCTTTAACAACATCAACATTAGTCAACACCTTCGCTATAAGGATCTGCTCAAGAGGCATCTACACGCTATTGATCCATCAGGTTGAGAGGGGCTCGCTTCACATAGGTCGTCTTTTTTTTTTAGCCACACACTACACGTAGACAACCACAAATTACACCCAAACTCACGAGAGAAATAAATGTAGGCCATACAAATATTTCTCCCGGCCCGGGAATCGAACCTTGGACCTCTGCGTGGCAGTCCGGCGGGGTAGCCGTTCGGCCACCGAGGCAGTTAAGAGAGTCTTGGCGGTGTACTATCTATAAAAATGTAAAAACTTTCGTACAAAAGCGAATCGAACGAAACCAATTGAATAGAGAGACCTAAGTCCTCTTATACTTTCAACTCTGCAGGCCAACTTTAACCGATAAGGAGGAGTATATACCTACGATGGTCTTTAGTATCAAAGTGCCAATGAAATTATTTGGTACCTAACGAATCTATGATGAATTTTGATACCTATGATAGACTCACATATTTATGATTTGATACCTATGATAGACTCACATATTTACGATACCACAAGTCCGGTTGTGTATGGAGTACTGCTGCCACTTATGGGATGGCTACGATAAATACCAACTGGCCACCTAGGATTGAAACGATAAGCGTGTCAAGAGGCTTATAGGTGACTCGGAATTAGTAGAGGCGAAGCTGCAGAGGGTTGAGCACGGCCGTAAAGCGGCAGTATATCGGTATTCTACAGGATATTTTACGGGGAGTGTGCGATGGAATTGCATAATTTGACTTCCCCTTCACCTTTCCATTATCGGGGGATGAGAGTTTCGGTTCCACATGTGTATGGCGAGCGGCTAGAGAGTAGAATTCCCTGCCTACGGACTTATTCCCCGAACGCTATAACTTGGACCTTTTCAAGACCAGAGTGAATAGACATTATTTAGGTGTGCATGCCACATCGTCGACCTCGTCGTCACTTTCCATCAGGTGAGATGGAGGTCAAATGCGCACTATATATATATATATTTCTTATAAAAAATATATCGTTTAGTACCTAAGTGCCTATGATGTACTTTGCTACATAAGAAAGCCTTTTGATATTACACGGCTCTACAAACTCTGTTTGATATCCACAGGCCTAATGGGGCGCTTGCATGTAGACTGCAAACATTCCACATGGTCGCAGTAGTCACTAGCCCATTTAACATAACTAATCAGTACCATGGCGTCGCTATAAAAACCTGCTTTTGCATTTTTACTACTTTATATGCAGAACTTGTATAAAAAGCGTGTATGACAGAGTAGAGTAATTATGCAAGTAGTACTACGAATACAAAATCTATATTCAATCTACCGATACAAGGTAACGTGGCAGTTGCGTGTTTAACAGTTAGTCATATTTTTATGACACTAAAAATACGTTAGTCAGGTTATTCTAAATGATTATTCTTCTTCGTTTCAATGTTGGCAGTGCTCTTTTAGGGTTTCGCCAGCACCAAATGTTTCGCTAAGTTGGATATCGCCAATGACCAACGTCTTCTGCTTAAGTGAACTTAATCGATTCCAGTGACGTCGGTAATTCAGTAAGTTTTGTGGGGGTACTCAGAGAGAGCAAGCTCATGTAGTAAATTTTGAATTTTGGAATTGCAGACCTGAAGGCTTACAAATATAATGTATAACGATAGGGGCCGCTGGATAGTACATTATGTACCAAGGAAGTTGACTTACACTATAACTCTAATAATAATAAATGTTTATCGTTTGGTAAAGTTAGCATGGCAAACAGTTTCACTTCTAAGTTGCATGCGCAATATGATCTGTCGACGGACGGATGACGGAAAGCGTGATAAAATCATGTAGTGGCTTGGGCGATCTGAGACAAATATCATTTTTTTAATGCAAAATAGACGCAGGTTTGCCTGCAATCACACCAGGAAAACATAACAGCAGTAGAGATCCCTGTGAAGGAGTTCGTCCAGGGAAGTACTGCTATTTACCTATTTCTGCCGCCAAGCTGTAATGTGAGCATTACCGGTTTTGAAGGGTAAGGGTGCGCGTGAAATTACAGGCACATGGGATTTGTCAACTTATATATCAGGGTGACGGGCGCAGCGGCAGCGCTCCTCACGTCTTCGTGATTTAAAGCTCTCAGTGGCACTGCAACTGTTTTGGACAGACGTGTCGTTTACCACACAGAAAAAAAGGATTTCTACTAATAAGAAAGAGCAATTTCTCAAAATATTTGCTAATTCTGAAAAAATATTTATTAAAAGTAATAAAATATTGTCACTACAAAAATACTGCTTATCTTTTTCTAATACAATTTTACTCTTAACTTTATTCTAACTTTGAGACAAATACGTTCACTTCAAGATTTTATTTCATTTCTAATCAATTAATTGGACATTACTTATATCAAGAAATTTTTACCTCTTACATCAAATTTAAATAATCTTAAATGAATTCAAAATTTCTTGGGTGTATTTTAAGAAAATATATTCTTAAACAAAAAAAGAAGTAGTTTTCTATTCAGATTAATATTCTAAATTCTAGAGTATATTCTTAAAGCAACATTTCGTTGCGTTTTCATAGTCAATCTTGTCGTGACATGTCGCCGAAGGCGCACGCGGTAACGATTACTTTTACTTGTGCTTGTAATCATAAAAATCATAAACAGTCATTTATCCAAAGAAACAATACGTAGTATCTCTAGTTTGTTAGGGTGTTCTTTATAGTCATAATTTAAGAAATTTGGTTACAGCATGAAATCAAACTACACTTGTAACAAGTATAACATGCAATTAGTTCCATCACGCCACTGCTAGATGGCATTAGATGTACTCTGAAACGCGCTATCGTTTTGTTAACTTCAATAGTATAAAGTCATCTCATATATTTGTGATTGTTAGTGCTTTCTGCCGCTGTAGCGTTTATACGGCACTGGATGGTCCTCAAGTATTTGAGAAGATTCCATATTTCCATCCTATTTCTGCTACTTTAAGGTTTGGCACTGTTGGGTCCATAACCCTGTAAATTTATCCTTTTTGATATTAGAAAACATAAATCTTCAGTCAAATAATTAAGTACCTCTCAATTTTTCATTCTTTTTTTTTTTCAAATCAAAATCGGACATTTCTAATAACAAATAAATATTTTGTTGAATCTAGAGTGGCTTTGTGACTTGAAGTAAATTAATTTGCTCTTGGATTAAATATTTCTGTCTTGTAACGAAAATACACTTTCGAGACGTTTTTTTACTATTATCAAGTAATTATTCTCTAGCGTCTATAGGGAGAAGATCGTTTTGTTGGATTTAATAAATTTGTCTTCATAAAAAGAATTTTGTCTTTTTCTAAGTAATCTGTTTTTACCGTGCACCAGGCCATAAAAAAGAAAAATCCCGTAAATATGAAGCACGATTAACTAACAAATGCCTATTCACTCTAGCATTAAATAGACCCAAATTGTAATTTCCGAAAAACCTGTGTTTTACCTGTGTTTTAGAAATGGAAATACTCTACTGCCATCTGTATGGCAGTAGAGTATTTCCATTTCTTTGAAAGCAAAGAGTTTCGTGCGAAGGGACGCTATATCAACGATGTAAAGACTGAGTGAAATTATTTTTGGAATAAAAAATCGCGTGTTTTTTTTTCAAATAACCAACGTTTAGGGTCCTACTTCATTCCATAATCACGACAGATGTGAGTAAAAACAATTATAAGCTGTTATAGATCCAAAAAAATATTAATTCCAATGTGTTTGTCGCGTCCAGCCACCGTGTATGACCAGCGGACTGGCTGACCACAAAGATATTTATACTTAGATTGAAAGGAATTCAACTAGATCGACTGTCTTTGGAACAAAAGACGACGTCGGCAGTCTGGACTAAATCTCTGACAAGTGCAGACGACGCCTCCTGACCTAACAATTGTACAGAGACCGTGCAATGTAGCAATCGCAACAACTTAAGAATGCGATGTAAGAACAAAAAGTTCCACCCTCAAAAGTCCGTGGAATTACATTCATTTGCCAAATGAGAAGTTAAATATTTCCTTGAAATTTAAATAGGACTAATACCTTTTTCCAAGAAAATAAATCATCAAAATCGGTTCACAAATACATCAAGAAAAGTAATCGAGTAACATGCAAACAAAAAAAAACAGACGAATTGAAACCTCCTCCTTTTTTTGAAATCGGTCAAAACTCAGATCCAAATTAAACTTAGTAGCAGTAGAGCTCCTTGTGAAAGAGTTCGTCCAGGTTAAAAAATGCCACCTTACCTATTTCTGCCGCCAAGCAGTAATGTCGGCATTACTGTGTTCCAGTTTTGAAGGGTTAAGGGTGCTAATGAAATTACACACATACACTTGCACATGGGACTTGTCAAGTTATGTCTCAGATCTTTGTAATTTAAAGCTGAGTGGCACTGTAACTGTTATGGACAGGCGTCTAGCTTACCATCTTCATCATTACCATCATCATGTCACTTGATGTTATAAAGAAAGAAAAGCGTCATAAAAACTTACCTTCCACATTAAGCCTGATAGAATACGACTGCGCTGTACCCACTCCGTTGCTGACCTCGCAAGTGTAAGTGCCCTGGTCTTCGTATCTCGTGTTCCGGATCACCAGCGTTTTGCCGTAGTTGTCTTGAGTTATGCCGTGAGATGAGAGGATCGGTCTGCCGTCTTTGGTCCACACTACCTGCGGTAGAGGCCTGTGGGGAAGATACAATATTGAACCGATGTACCTAATTTATAATTGTCAATTCTAATAATATTTAACTTACATTAGTCGTTAAGCCTAATTCGGGTTTTGCTGTTGATCTTAAACCTTACAGTACTACTCGATTCAATTTTCTTCTATTAAAATAAGTATAGCGTAGCCCGAATTATACATATTTTTGTATACAAAAGACACACATTAATATTAGAAATTAATATATCATTTACAATAAATATGGAATATAGATTATATTATATAAATTTATCGCATTATGTTTACTGTCAAAACGAAATAAGGTCCAATGGAGAGCCTATCTTGAACTGCACTGGTAATCGTAAAAATTTTATTGCAAAAAATATAAAAACAGGTACAAATTTGTATCCAGTTGCCACTCCTAAACTTATACTTAAATAAATAATAGAAAAACATATTACTTTGCCAAAAACATCTGTATGTCATAATGGAGACCTACGTTAGATCATGACTAAGTAGATTCCCAGCCGGGAACATTCACCGGCAATGAGCATTCGAAATTTGATTCGAAATCTTTGTTCAGAACATTTAAAAATACATTGTATTCATTAGGAGCATCACCTACGTTAATAAGAGATCGAAATAGACATAGCATATGTACCTAAACTTTAGTGAAAAAGTACACAGAGTGAATAAAACCTCCCTTTAAAATCTCGAAATTTATTATACTGTATTTTGTTCTGTATTTTTGATGTATATTTAGAATAATAATAACGCACACACTCAACATAGCCCCGCACTAGGGAAACCCTGTGTCGCGGGTGCCATGGACACACACATAGACAACCACAAATTACAGCCAAACTCACGAGTTAAATAAATGTAGGCCTTACAATTATTTCTCCCGGCCCGGGAATCGAACCCGGGGACCTCTGCGTGGCAGTCCGGTATGGTAACCGTTCGGCCACCGAAGCAGTTAAAGCAAAGTTAAAGAAGTAGCAGTAGAGTGCATTGTGAAAGAGTTCGTCCAGGGAAATACCTTACCTATTTCTGTAGTCAAACTGTAACGTGAGCATTACTCCTTTCCAATTTTGAAGGATAAGGGATAAGGGACTGGAGTGTCGCTTAGCACTAGGCGTACGACTTATTAGTCCCGTGACTTGGTATAATAAAAAATCCGGAGGGAGGTTTATCTACTCCATGCGTACTATTTGATATTTAGGTAATTACACTCTACCTATTTCGATCTCTGATAAGGAATGAACTAAACGATGCCAACATTGAAATGAGCCAAGTTTTCGATGGGAGTATAACATCGATGTCAAAATTGAGTTATACGTGTACGTTTGTAAAAGACAAGCAGAACTTTTGTTGCGAGTATTGAAAACCATCCATACCACCGAATTATCGGCCTGGTTGTGAGCTATGTAATGCGTGTCAGGGGGTCGTATTCTAGAACTCTACTCAATACTCATGTCAGAATTTGAGTATGATTTAAAGCACTCGAAATCATACTCAAGTCCTTGCCATTAAGGTCGTATTTCTAGTGCTTATGTTGCCAGTGCAATCCTGACTTGAGCATTGGATAGAGTTCTAGAATACGACCATTAGAGTCGTATTCCAGAACTCTACTCAATACTCAAGTCAAGACTTGAGTATTGCAGTGAGCACTGAAAATCATACTCAAGTCCTTGCCATTAGGGTCGTATTTCCAGTGCTTGAAATCATACTCAAGTCTGCTCAAGTCCTGACTTGAGCATTGAGTAGAGTTCTGGAATACGACCCTTAGTGTGTGCACTCGACTATTTGTTGTCGAATGCTTGTAACAAGCGAATACTGCCGGTACGGACGAGAGTTAAGTCTACAAGTACAAAGGTACTTCAAGATTGAAAACGTTATAATAAATAACGCACACACTCAACATAGCCCCGCACTAGGGAAACCCTGTGTCGCGGGTGCCATGGACACACATAGACAACCACAAATTACACCCAAACTCACGAGAGAAATAATTGTAGGCCATACTACTATTTCTCCCGGCCCGGGAATCGAACCTGGGACCTCTGCGTGGCAGTCCGGCATGGTAACCGTTTGGCCACGGAGGCAGTATAATAAGGGACTCATCACATTTATACACACGGAATGACCTCGAGTCGATCAGTAAAACCTTTATACCCATGCAATAAGAGAGAAGTTTTAGTTTATAACTAAACTAGTTTTAGTAGCTGTGTAGCTCCTTGTGTAAGAGTTCGTCCAATGTAGTATTGCCACCTTATCTATTTTTGCCAATAAGCAGTAATTTCAGCATTACTGTTTTCCAGCTTTCAAATTACAGGCACATGGAACTTGTCAACTTATGTCTCAGTGTAACGGGCGCAGAGGCAGTGCACCTCAGATCTTTGCGATTAAAAGCCCTTAGTGGCACTGCAACTGTCATGGATAGGCGTGTCGCTTACCATCAGGCGCACGACTTGTTCGTCCCGTCACTTGACATTGTAAAAAAAAGACGTAACAGGTTTCGCTTATACTCGAAACGCACAGCGTTATGTTCGCTCTTATTACATGGACATAATTGTGGTGACTCCCTAATCCTTAAAAAATGGCAAAATATATGAAAAGTGACTTCATAATAAAGTTTAAGGAAAACAAGTAATAGTAAAACAATTTAACTAAGAGAAAAAAAACCGGATGACCCTTTTTCCATTTTGACAAGACCAGTAAATTATGTATGTAAACCACATGTGTTTTACATACATACATATGTGTGGTTTACATACAATGCAACCATACAATGCAATGTGGTTTACATACATATGAAAATATTATAAATGCAAACGTCTCTCTACAAACAAAAAAAAACAGCTATTTGCCCAACCAATTAAAAAACAAAAGGTAAAGCACTTACGTTCCACCGAAAATACAATATAACTCCGTCCTTTCCCCTTTCAGCGCAGTCTCGACTTTTCTTGTCACGTATTGTTTTACTGGCTCATGTTTGTTTAAAGCCGGCGATATTCCTGTCTGCTCTACTTCCAGGAACACCTTGTTCCCCAGCTTATATTCATTCCTGAAAAGTGATTTCGCTGCGCAAGTGTAAGCGTAATCTGTACTTGCATCGAAGCGAGTCACATTTGAGAAGAAAAGATTTCCTTCCGGATCCAAGGTCATTCTGGAGTTGTTTATGGTTTTTAGCTGCCCTTGGTCGCCTTGTAACATCCAGTAGACTTTCGGCTTAGGGTGACCGTCTGGAGGTATGCAGGTCAGTTTGAAAGGAAGCCCTTCCTGTGCTGTCACTGTTTTTTGCTGTCCATCGGTTTCGTTGAACGAGTTGAGTTCCGCTTTTCTTACAAAGACGGAGTTGGATGTTGCCGTACCCCACTCGTTGTAGGCGAAGCATTGGTATTGACCAAGATCCTCGTCCCGTGGTTGACTGACCACGAGGGTGCCTCTGCCTGGTTGTTGTGAGATTCGATTGTCGTAACTCGTATATTCGAACGGTTTGCCGTTCTTGATCCACCTGTACCTGTTTGGGCAAAAAAGAATAGGGTTATTTTTTGAGCATTTATTAACAAATATTCATATTTTTAACCGATTTAAAAAAAGGAGGAGGTTCTCTATTCGACTGTATGTTTTTTTTTGTATGTATGTTACTCGATAACTCCGGTATTAGTGAACCGTTTTTCATGATACTTTTTTTGTTGAAAAGAGGGTAACTCCATAGTGGTCCCATTTCATCAAGAAAATCATCCACCTCTAAGGGTGGCTGATCACGCATGAACATTCATTTTTATAAATAGCGCCTAAATTTTACTTAAGGAGCAATTATTTTGATGGTTGGTTTTGCTATTCTCCAATTCAAGGCGTTTTTCTCTCTCAATATACTTTGAGTAGTGAGAACCTATTTTTATTATCTCCAGTATCAAGTCCTGTATAGTGGCGAACTAGGGGATATTTCAATAAAACTTGGCAAATAGACGTAATTCCACATACTTTTGAGGTCAGTTTTTTTAGTACTCTGTACTGAGATTATATTATTTCAGATAGTTCCACCGTGCCCGGCCAAAAACATTTGACATAAAAACTTATTGAAGGTATAATGTGTATTTGCTAATATGCACAAAATAATCAAAAACCACTATCATCAAATATGATATAATACATGTATTACATAAACATAATCAATATAAATACATCGGTCAATGATTAAACGTGGCGATAGTTATTCGAGTCAATATTATGGTTTATGTTTTTAATTTAAAAAAACCGACTTCAAAAGTTCGTGGAATTATGTAATTATATTTGCCAAGTTTTATTGAAATCAGTTACCAGAACGCGACATACCCCTAGAGAGATTCATCCCCTAGTTTGCCACCTTTAGAGGTGCAATATTTTCTTCAAATTTGAATGGGACCAATACTGAGGTCAACAACACAAATCGAGTTATCTCGTAACATAAATAAAAAAAATACAGTGAAATCGAGAACCTCCTCCTTTCTTTGAAGTTGGTTAAAAATACGTACATGTCAAAATAATGTAAGGGAGCAAAAAACAATATGTGATAATAATAATTGTATAACATCGAATTGGACTGTATAGTTACTATAGTTCAAATATCATTGCCCTCAAGGAAAGAAACAACAAACGATTGCAGTCACTGCAGTATAATTTTTGTGGGTAAAGGTGGCAAAACGTCTCAAAAAATAGACGGTTCTTTAAACTCTTTTATCGGAAAGGAATTTCCTCTTTTAGAGGAAATCTGTTAGTAATGAGCATGTCGCCAAATGATGCATAAGAAATGTTAATCTATGAATATATCTTATTGCTATTCTACTTTATAGATAAGGCTTTCTATAAAAATACGTTTTACATATTTTATAATATACTCCCGGACACAATTCGAGCCACCTTACATTTTTGTCGTAACGGACTAGAATACAAAAATAGTGTTATCATCGAAGAAAAAGTTTTCCCCCGGTTTTGCAAATCCAAATACCCAACAAGAACTTATGGAAAAGTCGTTTAGTATACTAATTTCAAAATTGCGTAATAGTTTTTGATCAATCAAACATTGCTTAAGCTTAGGGCACTCAATACTGAAAACGCGTGGTGGCTCGAATTATGTGTCCGGAAGTGTATTAGACCAGAACATCTTTTATTAAGCTATTTTATTAATACCTTTTTTAGATGCTACTTAAAGGTCAATGTGCAGAAATTGCTTTAAAAATAAACGCATATTCTCGTTTACGTTTACGAGTTCATGCACATGGTTAAAATACGACGACCTTTATTATTATTAGGAAACTTGTTCGAGCACACAGTATTATGTTAGCTTTTCAGCCGCCTTATAATATATCGTCACTGTATTAACTGTTATAACGCACGAAAACCAATTTTTCCAGGGCAATGTATTTATTGAATGTCATGTTGTTTTACTACCATGATTTTAAGTGAAAATACTCCAGTAGTTTGTTATTTTTACTGGAATCGAACCAGCGTCCGTGACGAGGTGACCGATCTTAACCAACTGAGGTACAGACAGAATCAGCAGACCTTGCGAATTTCTTTATGTGTTATCTTACAGATCTTTGTATTTGGTTTGAATGTTTTTTTTTCGCCATCTGCGTACATGTGAGAAACTTATGAAGTAATGGCCACGGCATTGCAATTGACAGGTTCGAGTCCAGTCAGATCAAAGTATTTTTCTTTGTGTTCGTGTATAAATTGTGAAAAAAACAATCCTTATATAAATTGAGTTATTTACATTACATATATATATAAAGGTACGCGTGAGATAAGTGTTCGCTCTTGAAAGCTGTTAATCAGTTACGACAAAAATGTCGGCTTTTTTAGTGAAGAGTGAGATGAAAAGTAAAATTTTGGGAAATGGCTTCCTAACATTTGTAAAAAAAAATATATTTTCATTTAATAACGGTACTGATTTGTAGGTGCGCTTTTTCTTAGAGGATGGAAAAAGGTCTTTTAGCACAAGTTCATTTTAATTGTCAATTTTTGTAAGTTCATACATGCACTGTATTTAGAACTATGTCTATGAAAAATACAAAGGGAGAAATTTTGTAAGTTTTTCTTTTAATTCAGTATAGATAATCAAATTCGGCTATTCTTGTTAAAATGCATATGAACAAAAATGTATCGCGATACTAGTAGGCCAATTGTGAAAATAAGAATAAAGAAGGCAATAACGCATTTAGTACCTAATCATTAGAACATCGTAGCATCCACAAGTCAAAGTCAAAGTCAAAGTCAAAGATGATTTATTCCATAGGTAAAATAAATTTACACTTGAAAACGTCACATTTAAGGTACTGCTAAGTAAGTAAGTCAGTCATTTTGTCAAAATTTTATCTTCTTTCACAATCCATCGATAAAATTATCGACAACCACTATATAACTATATAAAATTTTATGAAACTGGCAACCCTACAAATGTCATTTTGCTCCGTTATATAAAAAGACAAGACTATATAGTATATTTATATTTGAAAAGTTTCCAATGTCATTTCAAAAGCCCGGTTAGGTTACGTGAAACACAATCCGGGGCACTCCCGATAGGGTGTGTCCCTCTTATATCAAGTTTGTTTAAAGAGAAACAGCCCGAAGCAATCGGAAACCGTAATAATCTTCCCCTTGATAGGTTTGAGTCAACAGTACAGCTCGATCGATAGTTGTGCGTGCGGAGACTAAAGAGCTCTCAGGTATTTCCAGATCTTAGCAGCGGTGATTCACGTCCAGATCGGATTCTACAATTGAGAATTCACTTCGTGAGATCTGAACGGTTTCATTTAGGTATACTTTAGTATAGTGGCTCCAATAAAAATAATTTTTTTTAAAGCTTTTTACTTTGTTACACAGCTGTATTCAGAAGGTACTAAATTATATTGTGAATAAATTATATTTAAATGATAACAAAATATTGAAAATGGAAGCGCGCAGACACATGCATCTCACTTGCCTTATTCACAAAATAGTATTCACGAAGCGACCATTATATCTATATGAAAAACTGGAATGGAGAGGAGATGAATCTGACAGAAATCTGCGAAGTAAAGGTACTTTGTTAAGAATTCCATCTCACAAAACAACCGGATATAAGGGTTCATTCAAGTACTCAGCATCAAAGATCTGGAATAACCTCACTCCACCCTTACGCGAACGCAGATCCCTTTTGAGCCTGAAAATGCATCTAAAGAGGAATATGCTGATGGATCAAAAGTGAGTGCTTTTATGAAACGCAAAATAAAGGGAAAAATAAGACTCTGTGCGATGTCTATGGAATGTCTATAGAAACTATTTTTAAAATAATTGTATAGAATTGAGATAATTTAATTAATAAATTAAGATAATTCATAATTTTAGATTTGTTAATGATATTGTTGGTTTATTGTCATTGTTATTATTATTTCATTTTATTATTATTATTGTTATTATTATTATTAGATAAATAATATTTGATGTTTGTTTGCGATTTGTGTGTGTGATCGACAACGTAGAGCTGCCATGGTCGGGTCGAGCTAAAAATCAGGGCTGAAATCACTACAAAGTGATTTCAGCGTTTTCCCTGAGCTCGTGTCCGTCACACACATATTTTAATTTTTTTTTATTTTACATTTTTTTTTTAATAATTCATTAATTCAGTAAATTGCGTAATTATACATTATTTATCCTCATTTCTGTAAATTATTATTATTATTATTTATAAAGTTATTATTATTATTATTATTATGTGTGTGAAAATAAATGGTTTAAATAAGACCTCGAGCTTTTCAATGGTCAAAAAATATTCACGTGACGACATTGGGCAAGAAGGAAAATACGCAAAGTTTTTTTTATATCCTCTTTGTGATGAAGTATATCAACGGCCCATAAAACCTATATCCATAAAACCTATCTCAAAAACACCTAATTGATCTGGAAGATGATTTAAAAGAAAATGAATCATATTTGTCGCGCAGTTCTGACCAATTGTATATCGGCCCAATGATAAAACGGTTTATTTTAAGCAATGGAAAGCGTATTCACAGTAAAGTTTAGTACATTCAGCATAAAGGTGTGCAATGCGACAAAAAATGAGTCTTTATTTTTTGAAAAGCAGCTATCGATATCACACCCCTCATGGAAAAAAGACATAAGTGGAGTTACGTCAAAAATATTTATTGCTCCATTGGATACAGAAAAATGTAATTCACATCCTCCCGATTCTTGTAACTTTATCAACATTATTAGTCGGTATTATATGTATGCCATTCTTCCATGAGGGGTGCGATATGATTTTAGCGGAAATGGATGTCATTTGCAATTTTGAGGGAAAATGGTGGCCAGGAAAAGGTTACAGAAATGAGTATCGCGAGATGGATTGCCGACATTGTCAAAGCCGAGATCCTTACAATGATGATACTAGAGTAAGTTTGTATTGGAGGGAAAAAAATTGTTTACGCGGTTCGATTTAGAGTTCTGCGATATACTATAACGTAAATAATTCCTTTTTATTAAAATTTAAGTAACGTC